AAGTGCAACCTCTTCACTCCCTGGGGAGTATTCTAGTCCTGCTTGCAATTAAATGCAAATACAGACACAATTCCACATTCAACCTACCAGTTACCCATTTATTTATACTTCTGGGTGAAGAGAGAAATGTACAGTAGGTAAAGTGCTTTGCCTAAGGACACAAGCAAAATTCACAGTTCCTATTTAAGGGACTCTCCTACTAAGGGAACACTTTTTTCTGTCCTGAAGGTGTCCCTTTATTAGCTGTACTACCGAATTTTGTGTTGTAAGCATCGATTTTGGCATTTTACTTTAATATTTTTAATATTGTACTGGTTGCAGTAATAGATGCAGACCATGATATGGAGATAAAAATGATTCTCTGTGGTTAGTAATCAAATGCTAAGATAAGGACTAAGAGCTGCATCATAAGATTTTTTTTTGCCGCTACACATATTTATTTATTTATTTATTTATTTGTGACCTTTGTATTGGTGGCACTCACAATCAGTGGTGCGATCTTACAAAATATACAATAGAAAAAGGAGAGGATAATCAAAACATGAACAGGCAACACTTAACTAAACTGATCTTAAAACTTAATATTAAGTAATATTCATTCCGTGCGAAAGGGTCCGTTTACATAGCATAGGAAATCGGTTTTGTAGCCCTACTATAATTTGTGAGTCAGTGAGAGGTTAGATAAGAAACCAGAGAAATGTTTATCTTAAACCCATCAGTCAAAAACCTTATAATGTAAACAAAATGCTTACAAGTGGTGACTTCCTCATTTTCTGTTGATACACTATACCTTTATAAGTTCCTAATTCAATTCTGTTCTTTTAATGAATTCAAGTCCATTTGTATCCATCATTCTGTATCCAGTACTGTAGTTACATGTTGCATAAACATAATTTATAACTTAGGGATGTTCCACCAGCTGACAAGTCTGTATTGGCAGTTGTGATATCAAGCACATGATGAGTTGGTACCCATCTCTATTGTCTTTGAAATTGAAAATATAGCAACTTCCTATTTCCGTAGTGTAGTTTACTGATACAGTCTGTGTTGGTTGAACTAACAAATTTTGCATAATATAATCATTCAATTGTGATGTCATTGTTATCTCTTAACTTTATATTTCTATTCCTGAGTGGGCAATGCTTTTTCCTACAGTATGCCTGGTAAGATGCAATATTGACTGTTGGTACTCGATATTAACTGTTGCGACACAGTATTGGCCATCTCCAAGCAATTATTGCTCATTGCTACTGTACATAATGGTATTGACTAAATCTCTTGACAGTTCCGTCTTGTAAAGGCAAAACAAAAATTGATGGTCAATGTACCTTTTTTTTCAAGCCCCCTTTACTGTACATGGACTTTCTTGATGCTTTTATTATGCGATTCATCTAATTTGCTTTCTTAATTAAGAAAAATCTTAAAACCTGTGTGTTACGGGAATGTTATAACTTGCCTTATTTTCTTACTTACAGTAGCGCCTTTAATAAATTTTAAATTGGTGTTTTATAAATATTTATTATTATTATTGTTATTATTATTGTTTATATTGTTATTATTATTATTATTATTATTGTTATTGTTATTATTATTATTTTTATTTTATTACTTACTGGGCTGATGCTAAAAACCTTCATTTTATTTTTTATAAAAAAAATTAATGAACATAACATTTAGGTAAAAAATATGAGGTTAAGTGATAACATTATCAAACGCTTGCTTTAAAAAAAAATATTGAAACCAAGCAAACTATAAATATTAGTTCAGACTACATGTCTATGTGCCAGATATTTTATGTTTTGTTGTAATATTTATGACACTGATAATATATACGGTAGGCCTAAAGTGTATTAGTACTGTAAGTATGACGATCAATATGGTAAATTAAATCGCTGTGCTAATAGTGTTGTACTTTCGACATTAAGAGCGCTGACTACTCTAGTACTTTTGACATTAAAAAGATTATCATATCAACCTACATAAAGATCATGTTGTCCTCAATACTTATTGACATAACAATAAAAATAAACAAATGTAAATGGAATCCTCTTCCTCACCATCATCATCATGACATCATTATGAGTTTGGCATGATATATTATACTACAATAGCAGTGTAGATGCAATGGTTGTGCTACAGTCTTTCGATTTTTCATTCATTGTCCTTGGGCAGAGCACTTTATACATGTCATCTCTTTTACCCAGGAGTACAGGTATGTGTACCTTGCAGGTTTGAATGTCAGTGTGCTGATTATTAGCTGCTACATAATGGAATACTCCCCCAGGGTCCATGCATCTTAGATTCATGTGTTCCAATATACAGTATGTGAAGTGCCAGAGGTGTTTCAATGTGTTACTGTATATGCTCTATTAACGACTGGAACAATAGAAAGTGGACTATTGTAGTACAGTTTATTATCGCCAGCAAAATACAGTAATCATCACCTTCATATTATATATCACCATTTTTACTAATTTTCATGAATTTTTTATAAACATTCCTAGCATCATCATCTTCATCATCATCCTCATGATTATCTTAACTATATAGGTTAATTGTACAAAAACTGTATGTGGTAATCCCTGCGGCAAAAATGCACTTTAGAGACATTCCACAATTATTTAAAAAATTATTCTCAAGATGTTAACATTTGAAAGATGGATGTGGCTTACAACTAAATATGACATTTAATATTGTGTACTTATCAAATCATTTATTCAGAAAGAAACCTAAGATCACCAACAGGCAAATTCAATCTAAATATTTTTTACCTATGGAAATGTTTTTTAAAATTATATTGTTTGGATCAAGTAGATATATTTAATCATTCAAGGAATGGGCATTACTATAGCTTTCTCATGGTTCTCTTATTTCATGTTTTCATGTTATCTTGAATTCTGTTACCATATTTAGAGGCGTATATTCACTTGATTCTACTATTTTGACTGACCACACCGATCCAACAATTGTACTTGCTCCCTAAATGAGCTGGTTCAATTAATTTTCAAATAAAAAAGTTTTTTACAAAATATTTTAACTAGAGAAGGCCCAATAAAAAAAATATTAGTTTATCACCCTCGCGCATGTCTTGACTTACATGGTACTAAAAAAATATATATTTTTGAAAAACAATTTTTTTTTTGGAAAATTATTTTTTTCATTTTTAAAAATTAAATTAAAATAGTTAAGGTAGATATTGTTTGTATTGTCTCAATCATGTTTTACTTTGAATATCAGTATACCAGCAAAGCAACCCAAGGGTGATATTTGGCTTTATCAAACTAAAAATTTTTAAAAAAGCCTCCCTCCCTCCCTCATCACTTTTCCAGTTTATTTAGGGTGATAAACAAATAATTCTTTTTAAGGGTCTAATAAATAATTTTAAGCAGTTATTTGAATTTCACAGCAATAGAATCCCAATCATTGTCTTGGCCATGGTCAGTCCATGACTCTAATTCTATAATAATATAGAAAAATCAGCGCTAGATGTTCTGAAATATTTATATTGGGTTTTCTTCATTTCTCTAATAATTCTCTCTGAACTGGTCAGCTAGGTTTAATTTTACCCTAAGTGCTGGTCAGCATTTGTATACCACCATGGAGAAAATATATCTTATAGATTTTCCTACATGAATTTACCAACCAACTTCTAATCCCTGAGTCAGTGAGCGTAGTGGTGGCTATTAGAATTCCTCCATGAATATGAGCTACAGCAAACCTGGATTGGCAAGAGCTCAGATTATTTACATTTTAATAGGCATAGAGTAGAGAGATGAATGTTAATGAATTGTAGCAGCTCTCAAGAGAGCATTGTTACTAAATTTTCTATGCTATTCTAATCATTGCCATCAGTATTCCTACAATACTGACCTTGATCACAGTGCCATTTATTAATTATTTTGCATTATTCTCAATAACATAATAATAATAATAATAATAATTAATTATTATTATTATTATTATTATATTTATTTGGAAGATGCTTTTTTAACAGCCGCACACATCACATCACATCAATGGTGCATCCACAATAAAACTATAACAATCAAAATCATTAAAAAACCAACAATCAAAACACAAAAAAGATGGTATGATTAGGGAAAATTGGGAACAATATCCCAACTCAGCCTTAATACAAGTAGAACACTATTTGTAAATACAGCATAGCCATTCACTGGACATGAATTAACTTAACCAAGACATTGCCCGAAATGATCATTCTCAAAAATATCGTCATATTTTTGAATTTTATTAGTGGTTTATTGTGTCTTCGATCGTTCGGTAACATGATATATATATATATATATATATA